CCTGCTGTAAGTGTAGGAGCTGCAGGTGCACCACACTGAGCCCCTGTGATAGAGGCAGTTGGGCAGGCTGTACTCCTTGCCCCCAGTGCAGTGCTGGCTGCCTCTATCACAGAGGCTCTGCACCACCCGCCTGCAGGTCTTGCATTCACAGCGGGGAAGCCCCACACTGGACTCTGCGGGGAAGCAGGGGGCGGGGCTCCCTCCACTCCCACTGGGGAAGGCAGCCAGCTCTGGTGCAGGGTTCCCCCACTGCAAGTGTGGGAGCTGCAGGCACACAGACGCGGAGCCCTGGCAATACAGGCAGCCAGGCAGGCTGTGCTCACCCTCGCGTACAGCGCTGGCCAGAGCCGTGCCCCACCGGGTGCAGGCACCAGGCACGAGCACCCTGACCTCCCTGCCTGCTGCTGCTGCTGGGGGGAGTGTGTGGGGGGTGCCTACACCCCCCCCTCTCACACCCACACCCTGTCCCCACAACTCCCACCGACGTATATGTACACCCCAACATACCCTATGCCTCCTACACAGCCACAACCTCTCACAACTCCCCCACACACTCCCACCCCCCATACATACCTCCCCACCCCCAGCCACACCCCACTATACCACACAATATAAAAGACTGACATCTTATTTTTGAGTTATTATGCAATCCCTTATATATACAGTACAAAATCACAAGTCACAACAAATGCATTTTGTAATAAAATTAAAAATATATTATAGTAGGTTTTTGTCTTCTAGTGTATGATTTTTTTTCTGGTTCTAAGATTGCAACCCCCTACTCCCAAAATGAGTACATGGGAGGGGGAGGTGGGGTGGGACTTGCAGTGGCAAAGGTCAGGGGTTACGGGGCAGGACTTCTGGTCCCAATGTTGCAACCAGGGGGTGGGGCAACTGTCAAGGGATGGGGTTACTTATGAAACCTCCAACAGCTCACCAAAACTTATTAAGTGCCCTCCACCCAAAATAATCACACACCGTTGGCTTAAACAATGTAACAGCATATTTTACTAATATCTCTAATCCAATTTTATATGTTGCACATGACGGGTCTTCTGCCCCGTCTTCTACTTCAACCACTTCTCTTGAGAGACTTCCTGGAAGATGACAGAGCTCATTCAGAATTTTCATGCCAAGAAATCAGGGAGTGGTTCCTCACCCCTCATGACCTTTTGAGACTGAGTGGAATTCTGTTTCTCTCTCTGAGTCTAAATGGCATATTTTTAGGTGTATAAGTATAAAAACTGCCACTTATACAGAAGTAGCCATTCTATTTCCCTGAGAGTGGGGATGTATAAGTGTGCACATGCACAAAGCCATACACAGTAGGCTACACAGTGTGCACCAGTTGTGGAGGTGTACCAGTATCTAAGACACATAAGTAGGGACCTACCAAATTAGCACTTTCATGGATTCCATGAAATATGGAATTGCCTGCAAAATCTGAGCAATGCCCATGAAATCCAAAAAATCCATGGGAAAAAATACATAAATAACTTATCAAGCACTGTGACAGCTTGCTGGGAAGTGGGCTGCCCGCTTGAAGGGATGCCAGCAAGATGGCTGCTGACCCTGCCCCTCACCATTGACTAGTTGCAAGGGCTGCCTGTCATGTGGCTCTGCCTCTCTTCACCAATTGGCCAGTCAGTGGTGAGGGGCAGGGCCACATGACAGGCAGTCCCTGCAGCCAATCTGTGACAAGGGATGGGGCCACTAGGCCCCTCGGTCAATCAGAGGCATGGGGGGGGGCGGGGGGGCACCACACTCCATCTGAAAATGTTTGTCTGGGACCATGTTCTGCCCATAAAACAGAATAGGCAGCCTCTGTGAATTAGGTAGGTCCCTACATATGTGTAGGGAGCCAGAAACCCATGACTAGTAGGTGTTAGACTGTGGAGGGAACAGAAGGATGCAGCTCTTCTATTTTTTTACCCACATTAAATGAGTCATTACACCTCTTGCCAAAGAAGCCCCCCAAATTGTAGGCTCCCCTCACCCAAAGAAGGTTTAAACCTGCATCTCTCTGACTTCCCAGTACAGTAGTCTAACCACCGAGCCCCAGATCAAGCATCATCATGAGCCTTCTTTGGCACTCCTTTTGAAACTGGCCTTCTCCTTTGGGCAGTCAAGGGAGGAAGTTGAGGGGGAAGAGTAAACCAGAGGGTATGGGCTCAGTAAAATGGTTGAGGCTTTAGAAGGGAGTAGGCCCTGGGTCCTAGCCAGTCTTGCTTCTGGTGGGGCAGAACCTTCTCCAATACTCTACTCTCCACTCATTTTGGATAATGAGGAAGGAATAGGCTGGGGAAAGAAGCAATTAAGGTGAAGATGAAAATCCTTCTCCTCAGAACCCCTAAATGTTAACATGAAGCAGCATTTGGTTTTATATCATATTAAAATTAAGCCTATCTCTTTCTGCTGACAAGGAGCATTCTAATTAATAACCTCTCAAGGATTATGTCACTCCTAACCTAACCTGGGGTTGTAATGGTTCCTTTGTGAATTTGTTCTTCATATTTAAAGTGCAATATTGCAGATCAATAGATGGTATGTATGGCCACAGTAGAAGTACTCACAGCGTGGGGCTGGCAGATTCCAATGAATCTGCAAAATTCTGCTAAATACCTTGTCACAAGGACATGAGAAAGGAAAGGAAAGGAAGCCTTAATGGAAAATTTCAAAGTAAGATACAAAGGTAAAGTGATCTAATCTGGGGCTCAACATTCGCTGAAAAACAACTTGGCCAAATGACTGAAAGCAAAATACCGTCTCTCTCTCTGACAAACAGTTTGTTTAAGATTCACTGTGATTACTGCTGATGATTGCTTATAATGGGGCATAAATCTAGGCTGTGCTGAAGCAATCTTATATTTTCACCCTATTTCTCCTTCTCCCAAATCCTGTGGATTCATTAGTTTAATCCACCCTTTGTATCTTGTTGTTTAGACTGCAAACTCTTTGGAGTTGAAATTGGCATTTACTTTTTGTGTGTTCAGTGTTTAGAGCGCTCAATTCTAGTTGTATCTCTTGGTCCCTCACAATATAAAAGAAAGTAAGAGGGATTCATGCCCCTGTACCCAATTAAAGCAAATTTTGATTATTATATGTAGAGCTTATGCAAGTATAATTTTATTAACATAAGGACAGATTCCCAGCTGGTGGCAACTGGCATAGCTCCAATGTAGTTAACAGAGTAATCTGGTGGCAGCTGAGAATCTGGCCTGTTGTCTTATTTGGAGGTACCAACTTTGTTTTAACTGAAAGAGATGCATGTCCAGGATGTGATGTGGTCTTTGTGTAACTGAGGACTTGGTCCAGGGAGGTGCTAAGCACTCAAAACTCAGAAGGGAATTTGGCTGTTAATCTAAATTCATTTCTTCAAAACAGGTGAAGCTGATATCCTTCACACAGGAAATGTAGTTGCTGCCTGACTGTTCAGTTTCTGAAGATTTATAATTCCCTTAACAGAGAGCAGGCATAAAAGCTCTGCTTGTTTTAAATTAAGCCTAATTCTATACCTTACAAATATGTACCATATCTGTTGCAAATATGTTGGGCTGCTTTACACCACTTGCCAGGAGTTAAAGGTTACACTAGCTGCACATCAGTGAGAAATAAATACCCATTTTCATTCAAAGATGTTGGATAACCTATAAGAAAAACTGAAGATGTAAAGTTAAGACCTACATTTTCAACATCGTCATTGACACTGAGAAACGTTAACCCTTGAATCTAATTACAATTATGTAATCACTGTCATATCGCCTCAGTTTCAAAAGCTGTTCAATTTAGTTACGAAAGAATACTGCAGTGTCCATTAATTCTTGGGATGGTGCACTGGTACTTATATTGAGCTAAGAATGAAGAAGAAACAACCTGACTGACTTCCACTGTTGCTACAGGAATGGAGTAAGTGGGATATTCATGCAGAAGAAAAGGCAAATAGCATGTAGTTGTACTGAGCAGGAGTAGCTGGAGGTAATGTATATAGGCAGGGAAGAAAAAATATACCTGCTGGTGGCCCCTGCTACTTATTAACGAAAAAGGACATTGCTTCCAGTGCAGAACCCTTTTGTTGGAAGGTCTGTAGGTGTCATTGCTGGACCTCTCTCAGCCTTCTACCTAGCTCTCAAGAAATACAGACAGGTACATTCTGACTACCTGCTGTGGAGAGACTCTAGAGGTCCAGCAAATCTGTCCTACAGAAGACATAATATAGCTCACAGTATATCTCAGTTTGAATGCAGCTATGACAATTTGCATTTAGGTCAAAAAGGCAGTTCAGTATTTCCAGTCCTAAATAAGGTCAGAAGCTTTCGAATAAAAAGACTTGCCCTGTAAACCAGAAATGCACAAACTCTTTTAACAGTTCAACTATTTGCAAGACTGACACAGCCTGCTAAGAATGAAGAGGTTAACTTTTTTGCCACTTATGGATCATTAGGTACATCCCTGCTTGGCATGAAGTTAAAGTCCTTTCATATTTAGCCTATTCTGATACAACCTTATAGGAATTGATCCTAAGAGATATTCTGAATTTTTAACCCTCACTGATCTCAATGGGCATTTGACACATGCTTGTGCTGCAGTGCTGGGCATTTTTTAAAGCTGACACACACTGTGCTGCATTGTGTGCAGTTCTATAAGTGGTGAAATATGCATCAGCACTGAGAAAATGGTGGTGGCACACTTTTGAACTAAAACTCATCGAAGGTGTTCTTGTTCAAAAATGCACTGCCACCATTTTCTGCGCACTGACGTGCATTTCGCTGCTTATACAACTGAATGCAACACAGCACAGTTTGTGTCAGCTTGTATGTGGAGCAGACATGATTAATCGAGTCTGCTTCGATGCGCTGGATCTCCAGCATGTTGGGGCATGAAAATGTATGTGTATAAATGCCCAATAAGACACAGCAGGGCACAGCACCTGTTAAATGCAGGTCCTAAAACCCTCACCCAGACCAAAAGAAAAGAACCTTACTGGATAAAGGACAACTTTTTTTGGATCTGTTCACGGTAGCACATTAATGGTTCATATGTGATACCTTAGGGTCAGGGTTAATGGTAGAAACACAGCTGAGTCGAACAGTAGGAATTTCAGGAAGGAGTGAATATGGCTGGTCCTGGAGGCAATTGGTCAGTTCTGCTTCCCACCAGATAACATCTGGAAGCCATGTATGGGATAGAAAAGTGGAAATCTGCTGGTAAAAAATGGATGTTCCTCCAAGGTCTTCCTTTCCCTGCAAACAGTCAAAGACATATGGTTAAAGGCCTGGTCTTAATATTAGGGTGCAAAAAAACTGCAAACTCTTTTTATAAGACAGCTGTATTATGCATGTCACATGACAGGAAGAAAGTGGGAGATGAAGGGAAATTAACAAAACGCCTGATGCAGAGCAGCACCAATCCTGGTACTTAGTTGGCCATTCTCCCATCACCTGCCAAAATCAGCATAACCTCTTCTCTGATTCCATGCTTATTTTTTGGCCAGCTTTGTTTGTCTCTAGTTCAGTTCTTTACAGTCCAACTGAGTGGAAAGCAGGTACATGTGTGCTGCACTGAGGACTAACATGGAGAAGGGACCTGAAATTCTTCACTACGGTAAAGAAGGGAGGAATTTGCTGACTCCTTGTGAATAAGGGTGAGAAGTGTGCAGATACCCAAAATACTGGGAGCTGGGTGCAATGGATACTATGCACCAGTTATTTTATTACTGGACATTACAGCTAATTGAGGTTTGTTGTTAACTGCCTTGTCACTGTCCATAATTGAGCTTTATAGCAAAGCAAGCTGACCATTTCAGCAGTTCTGGCCAAAAGGCATCTTTGTTACTCTCATCAGCGTTCTATAGCCAAGGGTGACCAGTATGTTTCATTTAGCCAAATGGCATTCTGCTTGTCCTGCTGCCCAGGGAATGACTGTATTGTATAAATCTTTTAGGAAGGTGCAGTTCTTTTAATTATAACCAGCTTCAGCTTTTTAGAAGCCAAGGGGAAACCATTTAATTAATGGGACCATAAATCAGACAAATACTGTATAATATCATTTGAAAAGCCTTTCACAAGGACATTGTACATGCCTGAATAACCTTATTCATTTGATTTTTAAGAAACATGCCTATTGAAAACTACGGCTCATTCCTCATTCCACAGTTGTGAGTCACAAATACCTATCTTTTCATTTCCTCTCCAAACCCACTTGTTCCCTCTACTTTAATCCCTAGTTGTTAAGGACCATCAGACAGAAGACTTTTCCCAGCCAGAGAGTTGGCTTCTCTGTAACATCTGTTCAGCTATCTTCAAATTAAAGCCCAAGTGGTAAAAGTCTCAGACAAAAATCCTGAGCTCATCCTGTGACAGGTACTGCATGGATGTTGTTTACAATAACTGGCAAAATTGTGTGTTGTTAACCAGTCTAGAAGATAATCAAGTTGCTTTGTTTGGTGGTACCCTTCTTAATTGGGAACACAATTTAGCCTCTTAGGGCACCTATATATCTCTCCCTAAGAAGGGGTACCTCTTAGGGGGAGAAGCGGGGGAGATGTTTTAACTAGAGCAGCTTTTGGGAGTGCTTTAATTTAAAATGCCCACAGTGTCTCATGTATTCAGCATCCCTCTTTTCAAAATGGCGGTAGGGGTGCTTTAACTAAATTAACTTGTTGAATGAGCTTTAGTTAAAGTGCCCCTGCCACCGTTTTGAGAAATGGGGACCCTGAATACATGAGACATTGCAGCGTCCCGATCAGAACTCTGCAGCAGACTCAATTGATCGATTCTGCGCTGATGTGTTCTAATCAGAACGCGCTGGAGCACAGGTAAAAGTGCCTTTAGAGAACACATGCCACAAACATCAGATTCTATCAGACTTGCATATAAATGCAGCTTGTTTATCAGCATGTCACAATTACATAAAATAAACATAAGATCATTTGTTCTGACAGCAACTCAAGCAACCAAAACCATGTTGGGAATGTTTAAATTTGCCTCATTTCACTTACTTGCTTGGAGAGGCGGAAGAGACTAGCATATAAGAGACTACTCAAGCTTACAAGAATGGGGAGAAAACACTGAAGATCTGCTTGATTTATGGAAACAGATTTAAAAAAAAAGCAATGTTGTCATGGCTGAGTGATCAAAAGGTTCACCTGCCTAGGACAGCAGTTCCTTCCCTGAGGAGCCCATTATTATATTTTTTATTAAAAAACTGTTAGACCTTGGGTTGGAGAAATAAAATATGACAACAAAAAAGATGTGCAGCTGACAATGAAATGCCCTGTAAACAGAAAGCAGATGACTCAGGGGACTGGAATAGAGTGTTTAATTTCTAGGGTGCTCAACCCAACTTAGTGGTGACTGAAAATCATTAAGCACATTGTTTCAGCCCAGTTCTCAGTGGTCAAATGGCCATCAACCCATTGGAAACAATGGTTGTTTATTACTATGAGAAAAGCTACCTCCACTGGATTGATAGCCTCATTGACAATCAGTCCACAGGACCGAGAACTGTAAGGGCCAATGGCCCTCCCAACCCTCTATATCAGGGGCAGGCAATTATTTTGGGCAGAGGGCTGCTTACTGGGTTTTGGCAAGCCATCGAGGGCCGTGAGACAGGCAGCCCAGGACAGATAAATATTAAATTTATCCAGGCAGAAGAAGAAACGCTGAGTTATTGTGGTGGGCCACTCAACCCTGAGAGGCACAGAAGGGCCGATCTGCTGACCAGATCCCATGATGAGAGAGGTCTCCTGCATGCCTGGAGCTAAGATCAGTGACATCACTGCAAGGATTCCTAATCTCATCAAGCCCTCCAACTACTACCCCATGGTCCTTGCCCATGTGGGCACTAATGATGTGGCTGGGAGTATTCTTGACCGCATCATGAAGGACTTCCATGAGCTGGGGGTCAGTCTCAGAAAGTCAGGGGCACAGGTGGTATTCTCCTCCATCCTTCCAGTTGGCAGCAGCCGAAGGTGCCAGGATGCCCGCAATCAGGGAAGTCAACCAGCAGCTCCAGAGATGGTGTATTCAGGAAGGATTCGGATTCTACAACCATAGCCAACAGTTCCAGGGAGAAGGCTTCCTAGGATAGGACAATCTTCATCTCTCTCCTAGAGGTAAGCATCTGTTCTCCTACAGGTTGGCTGATCTCCTCCGAAGAGTTTTAAACTAGGTTCGGCGGGGGACAGGGAACCAGTGGTTGATGAGAACCCAGGGTTGGAAAGCCACAATCAAGGCACCAGACCTAACCAGGTAAGCACTAAGGGGAATACATGCCATCAAGGCAAAGGGACACCAAGAGCACCCACTGAGGGGCTAAAATGTCTTTACACAAATGCCAGGAGCTCACACTCCTACTTGCTAGCACACAGTATGACCTAGTCGGCTAAACTGAAACACGGTGGGATTCTATGTACGACTGGGCGGTAGGCATTGAGGGGTACATGTTGTATAGACAAGACAGAGTAGGGAGAAAAGGTGGGGGTGTAGCTCTCTATGTTAAGGAGCAGTACATATCTTCCGTCATCAAGGCAGGAGTGGAGGAGGGGAATACCAAGGCATTGTGGGTCAGGATCCAGGGGGGGCCAGGGGAAAAGGACTTGGTAGTGGGGATCTACTACAGACCTCCTCACCAGGATGATGAGCTAGATGAGGTATTCTCCAAGCAGCTCTCAGATGCCATACAGGTGAGGGAGGCAGTGGTCATGGGGGACCTAAATTACCCGAACATCAGCTGGGAGGAACAGGCAGCCAAAACAAGCCGCTCAAGGAGGTTCTTACACTGTCTGCAGGACCTCCACCTAACCCAGATGGTGTCCAATCCCACCAGGGGTAGCGCCTTGCTAGGCCTGGTCTTAGCAATAGGGGATGATCTTGTGCGGGACCTGCGGGTACACAGTAACCTGGGAGATAGTGACCATCACTTGGTAGAGTTCACTATCCAGCAAAGAGTGGGAAAAATATCCAGTGAAGCCAAAGTGTTAGACTTCAGAAGGGCCAAACTTTAGTAAACTTAGAAGGCTAGTTAGTGAGATGGCAGAACTCAAGAGCATCGAGCAGATGGGGGTCCAGGAGGGTTGGAGGTTTCTCAAGGGAATGATCCTTGGGGCATAAAAGGAGTCTATCCCCTTATGCAGGAAAGGGTGTAAGTGGATAAAAAAGCCCCCTTGGCTAAACAGGGAGCTTCAGGAAAGACTGGGGGCAAAGAAAGAGATGTATAGGCAGTGGAAGCAGGGGGCAGCCACCAAGGAGGCATACACCACCCTGGCATGCAATTGCAGGGAGTCAGTTCGGCAGGCCAAGGCAGGATTGGAGTTTAGGCTGGCTACAACAATTAAAGACAATAAAAAGTCCTTCTACAGATGCATAGAGAGCAAAAAGAAAGTGCAGACCAGCATAGGGCCCCTGCAGGACAAATCAGGTCAATTGGTGGTTGACACAGAGAAAAAGGCAGAGCTCTTCAATGAGTTCTTCGCTTCAGTATTCCTTAATACTGACCAAGACAATTCCCCCACCTTGAGCATAGACAGATGTCCAAAAGGCACCAGACCACCAAAGGTTAGTGCTGACTTAGTTAAAGATCACTTGGAAGGGCTGGATGGGTACAAGTCAGATGGTACAGATGACCTCCATCCACGGGTGCTGAAGGAATTGGCCAGTGTCATTGCCGAGCCGCTGGCACGGCTGTTTGAGCGCTCATGGTGCTCCGGCCAGGTCCCTGAGGACTGGAAGAAGGCCCGCATAGTGCCCATTTTTTAAGAAGGGGAGAAAGGAAGAGCCAGGTAACTTTAGGCCAGTTAGTCTTACCTCTATCCCTGGGAAAATACTAGAAAAAATCATCAAAGAGCGAATTTGTGAAGGCCTAGCAGGAGAAACGATGCTGAAAGGAAATCAGCACGGTTTCGTCAAAGGTAGATCCTACCTGACAAACGTTATAGCCTTTTATGAACAACTCACACACTGCCTTGACACAGGAGCTGAGGCTGATGTCATCTACCTGGATTTTAGGAAGGCCTTCGACAGTTTCGCATCCTATTCTCATAGGGAAGCTAACAGGCTTCTGGAGTGGACGCCTACACAGTCAGGTGGATGGCTAACTGGCTTAGGGACCGCACCCAGGGAGTGGCGGCGGACAGGTCATTCTTGGCCTGGAAGGAGGCGGGGAGTGCGATCCCATAGGGTTCAGTCCCTGGACTGGTGTTATTTAATATCTTCATCAGCGATTTGGATGAGGGTGTGGTGAGCACCCTCCCCAAGGCCGCAGATGATATCAAGTTATGGGGCAAAGTTAATACACCAGAGGGCAGGGAGCAGATACAGGCCAACCTGGACAGGTTAGATCAATGGGCAGAACAAAATAGGATGCAATTCAACAAAGATAAATGTAAGGTACTCCACCTAGGAAGGAGGAATCCCCAGCATACCTACAGGTTGGGGGATACCCTCCTCAGCAGCTCAGAGACTGAGAGAGATCTTGGAGTTATAGTTGACTCCAAGATGAACATGAGCCAGCAGTGTAACGAGGCCACCAACAAAGCCAATCACACCTTGTCGTGTATTAGCAGATGCATGACCAACAGATTGTGGGAGGTGATGGTCCCCCTCTATGCAGCATTAGTCAGGCCACAGTTGGAGTACTGTGTCCAGTTTTGGGCACTGCACTTCAAGAGGGACATGGAGAATCTGGAGAGGGTTCACAGAAGGGCCACTCGAATGATTAGTGGTCTCCATGAAAGACTCTACAAGGAAAGGTTGAGAGATCTGGATCTCTTCAGCCTTTACAAAAGACGGCTGAGGGGTGACCTTGTTCCTTGGCCTATAAGTTTCTCAGGGGAGGACAGCAGGGAATTAGGGATGTGCTGTTTACCAGAGCACCCCAGGGAGTAACTAGGAATAATGGGTGCAAACTAGTGGAAAGTAGATTAAGGCTAGACATCAGGAAGAAATTTTTTTACAGTAAGGGTGGCCAGAGTCTGCAATGGGCTTCCAAGAGAGGTGGTGCTATCACCTAACTTGGAGGTCTTCAAGAGGAGGCTTGACAATCACCTGGCTGGGGTCGTTTGACCTCGTTCCTCTTTCCTGCCAGGGGCAGGGGGTCGGACACGATGATCCATTAGGTCCCTTCTGAACTCTATAATCTATGAATCTATCATTTTCTAAATTTTTTAGGGGCCCTGCAGGCCGGATAGAATGGCCTGGCGGGCCGCATCTGGCCCCCCGGCCACATTTTTCCCACCCCTGCTCTATATGGTTCCCTCATTCCAAGGTCAAGATTATGAATAGGGTGAAGTGAAGGAAGTTAATACTAGTTCAGTAGATAAGAGAGGTCCCCAGGTTCTAGATTGCTTATGAAAGGCAATCCACTGCCTGTCAGAAGCACTATTTTAATGATACAATTTTAAAAGAAAGGAAAACCTCACAGACCACTGTGCCTAGTGCTTCATGAATCTGGCACTCTAATACTACAGTGACCAATATAAGAGAGAGATCCATAGAAAGACAAGCATTTACTCTCTCGTAACTCATGGGCATTAACTTGTATCCAATAGGATGCACAAGGCATGTGTCTGTTTTCCACAGTAAACAACAAATCCAGATGTGTCAAGCTAAGAACACTACATTGTCAAACTATCAGGGTGCAATCAGTTAATGTTAACCCTGACATTGCTTGTCCTTTCATATTTCATTTAAAAGAAATTTAATTTGTATTTTGCTAGAATCTTGCAACCAAGAACTTCAACAGCAACTACTGGGATCCAAGTTTTTTTCCCTGGATGCTCATTTCACATCCAAATTATGCTAAACCCTTATAACTGATTTTTATTGTGCTCAGAAGAAAGAACCAGAATAGAAACTGTTAATGGCTACAAGAGACAAATATTGTTATCTTATACTGCCAGGTAAAATACTGTACATTAGCACCACCACAAGAGACTGGTGACTCTAATAAAATCTGTTGGCTTTCTCTCCAGCAATAGCCAATGCTGCTAAGGAGGAGAATCAGAGAGACAGCAGCTAGTTCCTTTTGTTTTCTTTGCCTTGGCTGTGGCTGACATTTCTGAAAGATTTTTGTGGCTCCCATCAGCTTACATCACTGACTGAAGAAGGAACAGCAGCTGTATAAATGCCTCAAGAAAACAAGAAAAACAAAGGTCATTGTGTTGAGCCTCAGCTCAAGTCTGGGATCGTGCCCGGTATGCAAAGGCCAATAAAGATACCAGGGGTGAAAGTACAAAGAAGGTTTATTGCTAGCAATAAAAGGTGCAAGTGGAATAATTCACATAACAAGCACACCAGATCACTATTTCTAAGCATCTTTTATACAGGAGTTTTCAATGCCTTCACAAGCGTGCTTGTTTAATGATTGGTTATAAGTGAGTGACGCAAGAAGTTCTTTACTGAGCATGTCTCTATACCTGTGTTTTAGCCATGTATCTCATTTACATACATATGTGTTTCATTAGCATACTTCTTCCCCACCTAGGGGTGTGACTTTTAGTATTTTAATGAGCCCTTTAACCCAGTACTCTGTTTCTTCTTTTGTTTTCAAGCCTCTTTTATCTAGGACTGTCTCCTCCTTATCATTGCAGCTGGGCATTTTTCACATAGCATTCTCTTCTGCTTCGTCTTCGAGTAGAGGTTTCTAGGTCACTCCTTACAATTGTTGTTGGAAAGGCATATTATGGAACCTCTAATGAAAGGTTCCATAATATACCAGTTGCACAGAGCCCTACTTTAAGGAGCACAGACCAAATGGCTCATGTGTTCACTTCTGTACATATTAGCTCACCTGGGTATGAACAGCAGTGCGTGTAGGCAAACAGAGTGATAGGGCTGCTCTGTGATTTATTTCAGAGATGAAAAACTCTGTACAGTGCGTTCAGCCAATCTATGATAAAGTAAAACTCTATCCTGCCCCCACCAAATGTTGGGAATAGCCTGGGCCTGTAACCCTGCAAAGTTTATTCAATTACATGACACCAGTTGGGCATATTGAGTTTGCTCAATGTTAAATAATTTTGATGCTCTGGTCAGCCCTGGACTGTGGCTGGACTGAAGTGACCCTCTAGAGACCAGCTCCATGGGTGGGCTTCCAAGTAAGTGGATATGGGGCAGTTAAGTTTCTTCCCCAAGGCCTTTGTTCCAAAGAAATTACCTTGGTTCCAGTTGGCCTACAGCAAAAATAATTGTGATATCCTTAATCCAGTCTAGCAGGCTGCCTGCCCTCCGCAGTCCTGCTGCTCCTCCCCACAAATGCCCAAGCATCAGCAGAAGAGTTGCTTATTGTTTCTTTTGTAGTGTTTTAATCATGACATTAGTTGTCAGCATCAATCACCTATTTGAGGGAGCATTCCAGTCACAGCTGTCACAATCCAAGCTTTATGATACATCATGGGAAATTTAATCTTTAGTACTCACAGACAGTCAGCTGTGGATGTGGAGCATTCACTGCAGCTGAGCAGAGAAAACTGAAAAGTAGGTCTAAATCAGGTTTGTACTTTCCCATCCCTTTGATCCTGTGATGTGCCTGGTTGCTGTAAGTTAAAACAGCTGGAGGCTGCTCTAAGCTGTACTGGTTGCTAATGGCCCCAAGGGATCACTCCATCAGCCAAGGATTGCCAGGATCTGGTCACAGCTTCTCTTCCCTGACCACACCTGGCCTGTAAATGAGGTTGCACGGAAGGTGCCACTGTGACACTTAATCATTTCTTGGGGCTGAAGGGATTCATTCACCAGTGGCTATCCACACACTCTTTGAAGCTGTTTTGTGCTGCCAAACAGTCACCAATTTGGCAAGGGCCAGGAACAGTGTCTCAGAAATTATTTTATGTAGAATGTTTGGTCAAACAAGTGGCCATCAAAAGATATCATGTACACTGCAACACACTGCAGCTGCAAGTTTCCTAGATGCTCCTGGGTACATCATTCAGTCAGAGTTGAGGACTATGTTAACACTTGATTTTGAACTGACAAAGAACAGAACCCACATCCTGGACTCTAAGTCTTGTGAAATTAACAGCAAGAAAATATCCCCTCCCTCTAGCTGTACTTTCACATAATCAAAATACAAAAGCAGAAACATAATGGATGTTATGTTAAAGTTTTCCCTCTTTGACCATTATCCATAAATTTTCACTCTGTGTGGCGACAGCCACCAAAGATATATGGAGCAGTTAATGAGCAGAAAAGAGACAAAAGGCCTTTGACATATGGGGCTGGATCCTCATCTGTGCTGCATCTAAATTCAGCATAGCAGGAAAGCCAAGCGGGCAGTTACTGAAAGTCACTTTGATTCTCCCACAGTCTTGCTCTGACAGCTCCCACTTTAATTCAGAGCAGCCTAAGGGCTATTCTAAATTACACTGGCTTCAAGTGGTCTCAAGGTTAGTCAAATATAGCCAGTACATCCCAGCTCAAATGCAATAACTCCAGCACATGTGCATGGCATTTCTGCTACTCACTTTGTGCTTCTGGATCTTGATGCAGTTCTGGGCTGGAGATTTGTCAGGTGGAATTAGGCAAGCATACAGTGCTAATCCATCCTCTCGCCAGATCTGCTGCAGCCCCACCACCTGGAATGGAGCTTTGATCCCACCATTCAGTTTCAAGGAAGGTACCTGTAAATTTATATGAATAGATGCCTTCATTTTATACACAGTTATATTTACAGAAGTCTGCTTCGAGGAATGAATATAACCCTTTGCCCACATTGTGACTTCTGAATGAAGACAGCCTGTGCAGTATAACCCTGGGAGCACTCCAGCTTGATTGGTGAAACCATCAAGATTTAGGCAGTAGTAATTTTATAAAAATCAAATTAAAAAGGAATAACATGTAGGTTTTGGTAGGTCATGGGATTTATTTTCCCAATAAGGCTTCCCATAACCTCCAAGCTCCACATTTAGCCAGCTATGAGAGGGGGAGAAAGAGAAAGAGAGACTTGCAACTCATATTACTTCCCTAGCCAGCAAGAAATGAGAACAAAGAGTCCCTGTCAACATCTCCCTGCGCGTTCGTTGCTACAGCAGCACTGTATGCTGCTTTTATTAATGATAATAAGATCAATACAATCTCTGTTAAAAATCAATGCTAAGTGATTATGCCATTATAAGAAGTCAGGGCAGGGTTCTTTAATAAGCCTTCATGTTCCTCATTACTGATCAGTTATAGCCACAAGCACATCAGTCACCTTCCAGTTTTATTTAGGCTGAAGCTGGATGTTTAGATAGGCTTTATGTTTTGTGGGGAAAAGGAATATTCTTTTTTTTTTAATGTACAGATCTAATTTGAAATAAGGATACAAAGTGACTTATGCTAGCCCTAAAATGAACACTAGGAACCATGCATCATGAATATCAATATATTTCCAGTAAAATGCTTTGGATAATAAACCTCTAACTGGCCAAGACAAAAACCATAAGACTCATAAAGTCACACTCAGATGTGATACATTTGGTACAAGGCTAGCATGAGAGACACTGTTATTCCTGGATAACCCTGACAGGGAGTAGAAAAAGGCAGTATCAGTGGGCAGAAGCAGTAGGATACCCAAAAACCTGGAGAGGAGGGAGAAAAGGCAAAAAAGAGAGCACAGTACAGAAAAGATTGGGAGAAGAAGTTACAAAAACCCACAAAAGGGAGGGACAGCCAGTGCAAGGTCAGGACCTCTCATGACTCATAAAAGATGAGAAATTGGGTTAACTTCTGACTTATGGAGCTGCAATTCTTTTTGGGGGGCTCTGCTATCACTTAAACCTCGTTTCTTTAGTTTATGGCCCTATCAGGGTGTCTAGATATTTTAATAACCCTGCTACGTATTCTACTCTGGACTTGAAACTATTTTCAATAAAAGAATTAAGGGGTGCCTGTGGATGTGTGAGGACACTGCTCTGACACGCTGTAATTACAACATATTAAAGTAGACATGATTAATCAAGTCTGCTGGAGCATGCTCCATCAGCCTCCATGTCTTGTGTATTCAGTGTCCCTGTGCTTCAAAATGGCAGCAGGGGTGCTTTAACTAAAGCTCATCAAATAAGCTTCAGTTAAAGCGTGCCCACCACCATTTTGAAGCATGGAACACTGAATACATGAGATGCTGTGGGCTCTTCGAGCTGATCTAATTAAAGTACCTCACCCCTGGAGCATGTACAAAGACCCCCTAAAATTCCCTCTCCATACAGGGCTTGGAGACATTTGTGCAGGTCAGTGACATCACTGTGAACAACACAACCTGACATTGTCTTGAACACTAAGGACTAAATTCTATTTCCCCTTCATGCACCAAAGCAGCACTTATGTGGCTTCATAACTACAATTTTTGGCACTTATGCACATTTTGGATCCTACTTCCATCTAGAGCAGAACAGGCTCACAAAAGTATAACTGCCAGAAGTAAGGTGGTAACCTCCTGCACTTTCTAGTCCAGAGTTTAGTGGTTAGGACACTTGCACAAAAAGCAGAAGACCCAGGTTCTGGGTCCCTCTCATTCTGAGCCTGCATCGCCTCCTTCCCAGAAAAATGGCAAAACCATGAGGCCATGGGCTCAGCAAGGACCAAAGCAATCTCCATCCTTTCTCTTGAACAGGGGTGGGCAATTATTTGGGCTGCAGGGCAACTTAACGAGTTTTGATGAGCTGTTGAGGGCTGTGTGCACTCACATGCTCACACTCTCGTACACTCATACTCACACACACTCTCACACTTGTACTCACACATAATCTTGCACTCACACACACTCACACACTCACATACACATGAGCTCCCTGCAGCTGGGCTGAGGCTGGTGCCAGAGCAGTAGTGGAAGAATGATCATGAGCCCTGCTGGTGCTGTAGCATCTTATCTCCAGTCCTCCCCTCCTCGTGCTGCCTGGCTTGGCTGACTCTGGCAGGCTGGAACAGAGCTGAGAGCCACACTGTGCTGGAGCCAGGGCCATAGCATTTGCAGCCCCACACGGAGAGGCTGCACAGTGGGGAGGAATGCCCTGCCTCTTGCCCCACCCTGCTGTGCAGAACTTGGCTTGGGGGGGCCAGGGCAGGGGGCTCAGTTCCCCCCATTGAATCACTGTCCCCCAAATTGGCCAAATCCAAAGCAAATACTAGTTGCTTTGCACAGGCCTATAAACTGGGGGACGGAAAAAATAGCTTCTATTTCCCTTGGAGAGGAATGCTAAAGTTGAATGGATGGAAAAGATGAGGAAGAAAGAGAATATTTGAGAATGAAGGCTGGAGAGGATGGAAGCTGGGGGGGCTCCCAAGTTTTTATAGCTGGTCTAACACTCATAATCAGACTAACAACAGTGAGTGGTGAGACCTCTCATTAGGATAAAACAGAACAGCCCCAGGCCACTAAGTTCCGATAAGTTTGTACCACTTATTCAGATAAGAGTCAGCTCTTACCCAGAACAAATAATCGGAAACAGCCATTTCTATTCATTCCTGTTTTACTGGAGGACACTGAATAGGCAAGTCTCTCCTTTTTTACTGGTCACTTTCAAATACTTTGTTCTACTGAATGTCATTGTTTTCTGTTGCACACTCTTTGAAAACTAAGGGCCTGGTCTAGCTTCTATAGGGAACTCTTTCCATTGACTTCCAGAAGGATAAGAATAGGGCCTGATATTTGCTTTCTTTGGGTTCAGTCTTTCCTTTGGGACACTGGAGTAAGGAAATTTTGTAATATGGATTATCCATTTTCTGGTGGGCAAAAGTCATCTAGAAACCTGGTGTTACCTATTTGCTGCATTTCACTCTATGTACTCACCAAGGAGAGAAGCCAAGTAACAAGGGCTTGATAGATGTTGGCTGCTGTCAATACAGTCTCTGGGAAATGTCCATCATGCTGACCAAAGGCAGCTACCTGTCCACAACTGGATAGCCAAATTGTCATCAGAAGCATCTCATGTTTCATGCTGTCATGACTAGGCAATGTGTTAATATCTGGCAAAGAAGAAGCTTCCTGTTGAAGGAGAGTGGGAACATTAAAATAATTTGTATTACAAGATCTTAAATAGAAAACAATATTACTTTTGATCAATACTACTGTCTGAATGTTACCAATGCAGGTGGTAATCAGAGGTTTTTAGTGATAATGTGGTCACAGTCTCACTTTTACCCTATAGCAGGGGTCAGCAACCCCGGCATGTCTGCCAAGCACAGCACGTGAGGCCATTTTGCTTGGCACGCCACTGCCAGCCTAGGCTCTAGGCAGCTGCTAAAACCTTGGAGCAGATGGTGGGGAGGGTCCTGAGGCAGCGCAACCCCGGCCTCTCCCCTGCTGCCGGCACAGAGCTAATGATTGGGATCTGGAGCCTGGCGCAGCTTTTTGTAACCAGCCTGGGCTCTTGGCAGCTGCACCAGTCAACGGGCAGGCTGCAAACAGCTGCACCAGGCTCCATAGCCCTGGCATCAGCTCCATGTTGGTGGTGACTGCACGTGCACCTCAGAGTGGACAGCAGGAGGGCTGTGCTGCCTCAGGCCCTACCCCCACCATCCACTCCAAAGCATGCATGCACCTGCTGGTATGGAGCTGATGCCAGAGACCAGAGCAGCAGTTTGCAGCCTCCTGGCTGCCACCGGCCCAGGCTCTGGTAGCTGCTGCCAACCATGGAGCCCAGTCTGCTTGCAGCAGTGCTTGCATCTGAGCCCATCTGACTCCCAACTGCTCCGAGCCCAGCCCTGGCCCAGCCTCCCCACCGAGATGAGGCTGACACTTCCCCGTGCCAGGAGCACCGCACCTTTTGCGGGCTTAGCTGTGCGGGGTAGGTGGTTGGTTGGACTGATGGGCAGGCTCTGGGCTGGGGCCTTGGCCAGCTGCACTGCAGCCCGGGGGCTGGCTCCCCAGGGAAGCACAGGGGCTCTGGCAGGACTAGGGCACTGTTGGGTTGGACTTTGTCCAGTGGCCCAGGAGCCTGGCTCCATGCACCCACGCATCTGGTTCTGTGTGTTTTTCTGCCTCTGTCTGGTTCTGTGTGTCTGTGTGCGGTCTCATGTGTCTGCTCTGGGTGTGTTCTGGTTCTCTGTGTTTGTGCATGTGGCTCTCTGTGTGCGTGTGCCTGATTCTCTCTCTGCTCTTCTTTTTCTTTCTCTCTCTCTCTCCTCTTTCTCTTATTTGTCTCTTTTTTCTCTCTCTCACTGCAACATGCTCAACAAAAAAGGAATACACAACAACAAAGGCAATATCTATGATTATTAAATATGCAGTGCATCTTGCCATGTACCCCCCACCACACTCATTTTGTTTTTCTGGCATGCCAGCACTCTGGCACCTTCCAAGATAGACATTGTGGTTTTTTCGGCACTCCGGCCATAAAACGTTGCCTACCCCTGCCTTATAGCCACAAAAAGGAACATTCAATAACACAATGCACCCTAGCACCAAGCTGGAAGATTGATTTCATACTGTCACAGAAAGAGAACCAACTACTGAATCCCAGCACCAATTCCTGTAGCACTGTAGGCTTTTTCTTGGAGGTTTTTCATCCATGTCTTGACTAGGTCCACTGCTACTTAGCATGTGAAAGCTAATGTGATCACAGCTGGAGGCAGTACAACTGGAGTCATTCAGTATTAATTATTAACCTACAGTACTAACTGCTAATCAAAGAAATACCATTGACTCAAGCCTGCATTACTGTTTGTTCTGCCAAACAAAGCTCATTTATCTTTGATGTTAAATTTAAAGTTAACTCTCATGGCATCTTCTTGAATATAACCAAGCATAGGTATTCTGTCAATTAGGAGAAGAGCCCCTCCCCTTTTTTGTAAAGAAAACACAGTTCTCATATCTTTTATAAGCATTTAATATATTCTGAAACACTCCACAACTTAATTCCTAATTCCCTAAGAAAAGCATACAGTTAGCATTTTACTTGTCCATGCTGCTCAGTGAGTTGAATTTTAGAATGAAACCATAACATAGAATGGAAAAGATGGTTACCTGTTCCCTGGGAGGTAAAGACTGTATTCTTTTTGTGTACCCAGGGTCCATGCCCTCACAATCAACATGGCCAACATTATAAAGAGTGGGGTGACCTTAAGTGACATTCAGTTGCTTTGTCAATAAGAATATGATATGAGAAGATTTCAGATAAATGGACAGAGCAGGAATCTGTATAAACACACCTCAAAGAATCAGAATTTCTGCAAAGCAAGTAACCATGCTTCTTTGAATGATTGTCTACACAGATTCCACTCTGTGCAATTAATAGACAGTATTGCATGACTAGAGACTGGGAAAACATAACTGCAGAACCTCCTTATTAAAATCAGCATCTAAACCAGAAGCTTCTCCAGGGAATAACAGGAGACAAATGTGTATCCTTACAAGGTCTCTAAATAGCAGCCTGTCATGCCTCAGATATTGTTATATTACCCTAACAAGCAGCAAAAGCTGGTGGAGCCCCAGTGGAATAAGTTGTAATGGAACCCAAATGTCCTCCCTAGCTATCTGATAGTAAGTATTATGTAGCTTAAAACACATTTAGGCAATCTCTAGCTGAATACAAGTTACCTTTGAGCCTTCTCTGTAAATGCCACAGTGTCTAAGAGAGAACTGAAACAACTGTGTTCTGTCTAAAAAAATAAGAAAGCCCTCACCATATCCAGAATGTAAAGTTTTGTATTACCTGGTATGGAGTGAGGTTCCAAGAAATAAATGGAAGACATTGATGGCTGAAGTGAATTCTAAACCTGTTTTCAGGAAAACTCACGTCGTTATGGTATATGGAAGACATGAGCTTGGATTTCATACACCTTTCTGGCCATAATACTAGAGAGATTGCTTTTCCCAATTGGCAAGTAACAGAGGAAGCCAGTTGTCACAGGTCCTACCATACCAGTGAAAACTATGTTGAGATCAGATCAGTCTCCTGGTCAGAAGACATGAATGCAGGCCAAGATCTCTAAGTATAATTTAGCAGGGGAGTCACAAGTTCTCTCATTCCCTGATAAAATCATCTCTAGATTCTCTTCTGAGTTGCTAGCAGACAAGCCAGAATGTGCCAGGCAGGAAACTCTACTGAACTTTGAAGAGAAAGAGATAGAGCAATCCCATCCAGGATAGCTGATTTATAAGAAGGCTCTGAGATAACATATCAGACAGAAGCTCAGGAGCCACAGGCATATATATAACCTCTCTTGGAACTCTCTTACACAAGGAAAGTTACCCTGAATTTACCATAGGTTAGTTAAACTGCACCAAAGCCCTGTGTAGACTCTCACGTAGAATTAAATGTTCTTAATTTAATTTAGTTTAATTCTCTTTGGAAGTGAAGTAAAGCTAAATCAAATTAAGGACACTTCGGCCGTGGCCAGACGAGCAAGCTGTGCAGTATGTGTCACCGCAAACACATCTGTGGTGCCACATACTACACATTCAGATGTTCTCTGTGCTGCAAAGGAGCGTTGCCTGTGTGTGTATGCTGCTCTGCCTTTTTTTCCCCACAGGTTTTTTTGACCCCTGGATATCTGTAGCAGAGCCTCCTGCATCTCTGGGCCACGGCTGCACAATTGGCCTCTGTGCGGCACTGCTGTCATGTTTTCTGGTGCCCCTGCTCTGCACTCTGCCACCTCATCTGCTCTCCAGCTGGGTCCCCAGTGCTGGCCCTGGGCAGGCTCCTCTGCCCAGATCCAGGGACAGATTAACCCTTTAGTGGGTCCTAGGCAAACAAACTAGTGGGCCCTGGGCTGGTTGAGACTGCCCATTCTCACCCCAGTGCTGCTGCCCACGGGGAGCAGGAAGCAAAGCAGTGTTCGCAAGTCTTGCGAGAAAAAATAGCAGCAATGCCTTTAAAAACAAGCCCAACACATTTCAAAGAGAGGGGAGTGGGGCTGCTGCTCCTGGTGGTGGGGGCCGTGCACCATGTGTGGGAGTGTGTCGGGGGTCCCCACACACC